AAATCTGTGATGGTAAGAAGAGATTCTTTTCTATACAAAATTTTCACAAAAATCCATTAGAATCCATTAAAATTCATAAACTTTGAAAGTCTATGGATTGTTGAATATCTCAAAATTTTAAAACACTTTTAAAAGTCTATATTGAATACGTCAGGATTTTAAAAAGACTTTTAAAAGTTTGGATTGAATACCTCTAAAATACACCCAGATTTTGAAAGTCCAACAAAATCCTACAAAATCTATATTGAATACACCCCCTAAATTTATCATTCATTTACTTAACATTAATTATTTATTTACTTTTTCTTTTTTGTTACTATATAGTATATTATTTAGTATATTATTTAAACATTATTTTCAAGTGCAGTGTAACAACAATATATAAATGACGATAAATATTCAGAGTGGATCAAGTGCTGAAAATTCATTTTCAGCACAATTTTGAATACTTACATTTTAATTTGTATAATTATATTAATTATATTATTTAATAAACTAGATCATGTAATTAGATTTCTAAGTGCTTCAGCACAGGTGCTGAAACTTTAATTTCAGCACCTGATCCGTTCTGATAAATATTACTCCATCCATCCCAAATCTGATGTCCATGTTGCCATTTTCATCCGTCCCACTTAATTTGTCACTTTCCATTTTTGGCAAAAAATTACACACCTTAAACATTAATAAAAAATCCTAATCTAAACATAATTATACCTATTTACTACCCCACCCACCCATATTTTAATTCAACTTAATTTACCCCCAAACCTACCTAGATACTCACATCGCATTTGTTTTCTTTCTCTCTCCGCGATCTGGAAAATCCTACCGTGGAAGTCAACGTCTTTGTGCCAATGTCATCGCACCCGCCGTGTGCCGTCGATTGTTGCTCCGACTTTGAGGGATCGACACCCTATACCCACCGTGGTTTCTCACTGCACTAATTGTGGGCTTCTCCAATCAAAAACCCTAAGTCGCCTGACAACGCCCCCTTTTCTGGTCTTTACTCCAGCGACGGCGATTCGGTAATTTTCTCCGGCGAAAAGCTTGGTACGTGTGAAGACAACGGTGGGTGGGTGCCGGACACGGAAGAGCCCTTCGATCTTGGACTGGATCTCGACGTTAGTCCTCCGATTTGAGAAACCACGCCTGCAACTACTCTTCGTCCTCAAAGTTCGCAGGTAAAGGACGAGGGGTTGGAAGGCAGCGTTGGAGTCCCTACCGAAGCTGGCGTATTTGGTTTGAGCTTAGATTTGTCCCCGACTCAGAGGATGAGGACGAGCACGAGTACGATGTGGAACCTACCACTTACCTATTCCGATCGTCCCTACGAACACGTCCCTTTAGAGGACGTTGGTGAGATCTAAATCATACTTTTCTCATATTTGTGGGTTGTTGGATTAAAATATGAGTATATTGCAATTCTTGCCTGAATAAGTTGTTAGGGCTTGATTTTGCTGTCGGTTGACTTTGATTAGAATTACTGATGTTTTCACATGCTCGTTAATGCCTTAACTGTCTTATTATTGTCGATTCCTTTGGTTTTGAACATTCTAAGTGTTCTGTTATTGTCGGATCGGATTATGCATGTGATTTCAGATAGTGATTCTTGCACATATACTCAACGTGAATATGTTTTCATTTATGAACTCGAATTCTTAAGCATGAACTCGAGTTAAAGTTGTGAAAACAAATATTTTTTGGTGGCTTGCATTTCATCATTTAACATTAACATTATGTGCCTAAGTACATATTGCTTCATCATTGCATAAATCATTCTTACAAAACATTTACAAAATAACCTGCTTTGATCTATTTTCACAGGTGTAGTAACCTTTAGTTACTTACAAAAGTTTTATCATTCACATATTGCTATCTCTAATAACCTAGGTCATACATAACATTTTCAATTTCATTGGTAGTCCCTTTTTCTATTAGATACTGAATGCATTCATGCACTAATTGCATTGAAACAATTAGTTGATTTGGAAAATTCCCAACTCTCAATAAGCTCTCTTTTTTCAAATGCGGGAGCTTGTAAGAGTTTTCTCCTTTTACTTTCATTACTTCAATCATGCAATTTTGTAAACTTAAAAATACTTTATTTAACCATTGTGGTGTCAATTCTTTGAAGCTGGAATCCACAACATCTAGTAGTTTAGTGACACTTTTGCATAATTTTTCAGTTTGCAAGCTTTGAATTGCACGAAACCATCCTAGATCATTTACATTCATGTCTGGAGAGTTTGGTGGTTGTTGGATAACAACTATGTTGAAACCATCTATATTTTCCGCACGAACAAAGTCTGCATTATCACCTTTAATATGTGGTTTTGCATTGTCTTGTTGTATTAATATGTGTTTCGAAAAATTGGGTGGCTACTTCTCTTTTGTGGCTGGGATAATCTGCATATAGAAAATAGACACATAAATTGCATACATAAGTCTGCATACATTCTGTTATTTTGAAATGCAACAATGAATTAGAGAAATCGGTTCTTCTATTCTAATTAAGAGAACATAAGACATCAACACTATGTTTTCTCACATTCCATATCTCTTATGTTGGCAAATAAAATTTACTTGATTAATTAAACATCTTTTGGTAACCTGTTTTGTCACAAATTGAACTGGTTTAGTCTCTAAAGTGCCGGTCACTCGATTTTTGCTTGATCTTTTGGCCGGAACTTGTTCTGTGAATGAAAAAATTCCTATTTTCCTATAAAACAATAAATTACCATCTTGATCCCAAATAGGGCGTGAAACAACACACATGAACATTACTTTTGTAATGAATTTTTTGTTTTTGCAAGCTCTATGTAGATCCTGTTCGATAGAAGTCAAGTAATATCGATGTGTGGCCTTTGTCATATAGAATCATTTTTCATCAATGTGTACTACATTATGCATATTTTGAAAAGATGCATTTTCAATACACCTATGAACATCTAGGGCTTGTATTAAAAAAGACAACCTTGCGAGTTTGTTAGCATCGGTCAACTCTGACATGATTGCACTTGTATGCGGCCTGATATGCTTCTCTTTTATCCATCTGTGGATAGTTGATTTCGATATTTTTAGGCCCTTTGTCATATTTCTAATAGAAGATCTTTGCATCAACGGTAGACTTTCTATTTCATTCAAATTTGGTGTCATCTTATCTTTTCGGATCACATGTTTCTTTCTGTTTATACTAACAGCTTCACCTTTTTTAATTTGTTCTTTTGCAGCTTTCCAATGTCTTCGCACTGTCCGTGCAGAACAGTTGAATAATTTTGCTGTTTCTCTAACCCTTCCTTTGGCCAGCTCCAATCATTCGTCGCATGTTCCGAGCAGAAATTGAACCATCTTGATCAACTCTGCAATGGTAAGAACTTTTTTTGTCATTGAAGTAAGAAGTGGTGTTTAGTGATTTAATGTGGCTTGATTCTGTGAAAGTAAAAATAAAAATTCATACTGATTTTGTATTTATTGGTTTATGATTCAGGCAATATTTGACATGGATTGGAGGGAAACTTTCAGCTTGTTTTGTCATGGTTTGGAGAGAATATTTTATTCTAAAATTTGACATGTTTTTATGTATTGAAACAGACTATGTGTGTTAGATGGTAGATCCGTGAGATTGTGGTATGTAAATATTTTAAGTGTACTGATTTTGATTAGACAGTTGTCCTTTTTTTTCTTACTTTTGGATTGCACAGCCCACGTGGGTCTTTTAAATTTTTGCATGTAATTTATGTTTTTTTTTTAATTCATCTCTTAATAATATAATTACACTAATTAATTATCCCCACATAAATTCCCGTGTCTACAGGAACGTGAACACATTTTCTGGGACGGAGGGAGTAATAATTATCTTCTTTCTCAATGATAGATACAAACTTTTTTAAATTTATTTTAATTTTTAATTTAAAAGTGATTATGAATAATTATTTTTCATCTTTATTATGTTTGACTTTAATTTGAATATATATTTATAAAACTTTAATTCGTCTATTTAATAATATTGTTTATTTGGTTTAATTAATGTATCTTTAATTTATAATTTATTTTTTATATAAATTAATTTAGAGTATCTTCATAAAAAGTTTTCAAAATAAAATTTATTATTTAAAATATAAAATTAAATTAAATATCACAATTTCTATAATTACCACGATTATCCGTGGTAAGAAGCTAGCAAGGTAGTATAATATATGTGTCTAAGTTATATGAAAATATGAATGACCAAGGTATTTTTGTTCACTTTGCATTTATTTTCATTTTGTTTTCTATCTAATTTCTTAATTTCAATAACAATATATTTAACAAAATAATACATTAAATTACGATTGAAAACCAAAACCAAAACCAAAACCGAAATTAAAATCCCAAAAAAATCATCAACTGAAGCATACCGAAATCATATCATAAGCTTTATATGGAACCACAAAGCAATTACAATAATGACAATTATAATTCTATTAATTATTAACTTTACCAAATATTGATGTTTTCCACTCGCACACGAAGTTTCTTGTTTCAGTGATACCCATAAACTGCAATAAATAATTTTCATAGTCATATTAATTACACGTCTAATTACCAATCTACATCATTAAAATTCCGAAAATACACACCCCATCCTTCCCGTTAACATTCCGTAACTAACTTCTCTCCTGATCTCAAGACCAGATAGATTTCCACCGTTGATACTCTTGACCGCGTATAATTAACGGTCCAGATCAATTCGGCGTCAAACGCCCTGGACCTTCTAGTGAGTTCACCCAATAACAAATGGCTTTAATAAGTTCGCCGAATGATAAACAGCTCCCAGGATTCGAGATCCAGAAGAATTTACAGTACCACTAATTGCTCCGGAGCGCGGTCCAGGTCCTCCATCAAACACCAGAAAAATTTCAACCTACCTTCCCCAATTCACAGTCTATAAATTAAAACAGACGTCGTTAATGGAGATTAGAAACCCTAATTTATAAACCAATAGCTAGCTAGGCTGCAGAATGGATCGATCGAATAGCAGGAGGAGGACGGCGGAGGCGGAGGTGGAGATGTCGGTGGAGAAGATATTCGAGGGGAAGGAGGTGCCGCCGTGGGAGAGGCAGTTGACGGCGAGGGCGGTGGCGGTGAGCTTGGTGCTGAGCGTGGTGTTCACGGTGATCGTGATGAAGCTGAATCTGACGACGGGGATCATTCCGTCGCTGAACATGTCGGCGGGGCTTTTAGGGTTTTTCTTTGTACGGACTTGGACGGCGTTCCTCCACCGGTCGGGGCTTCTCCGGCAGCCCTTCACCCGCCAGGAGAATACAGTCATTCAGACCTGCGTTGTAGCTTCCTCCGGCATCGCCTTTAGTGGTTCGTCTCCTTCACTCACTCATTTATTTTTTTTCTAAGATATATATATGTATATTATTATTATTTTAGATATTATTATTACAATCACCGAAACTACAATCAATTCGCATATCCTCGTACATATAATGTGTAGATATACACATACGTGTGTATATATTATACTCCTTCGGTCCCAAAACTAAGTATTCATTTGCTTTTTGCACTTAGTTTTAGAAATATTAGTATTATATTGTGATATAGTAGGAATAAAGTAGAAATGACTAAAATAACCTTATTAGTACGTGTGATATAAAGGTAATGACATTTGTGTAATACATTATAAGTTGTAAGGGTATTTGTAATGTTAGGTATATAGTACAGTTACTAAAAAAAGGAAATTGATACTTTGTTATGGGACGGATTAAAATGAAAAAATAGATACTTTATTAGGGACGGAGGGAGTATATATACTAAACATATACACTTCTGCATATATAGATATTATGATAAGGTGCGTTAATAGGATAGAGGATCCTTCGGTCTATATAAGTCTATGGGTTTATTTTATTTTATTTTATTTATTTATTTAATTTCTTTATTTTATTAAAAGATATTGAACATTTTTATAAGATTATATCTCAATCAAGTTAATAACTATTTTACCTTGAAGATTTTAAATTTCTAAACATATACTTAAAAAAGAGAAAAAAAAAGAAAGAAAAAAAAATTGTGTTTGTTGCTATTTGTGTGTTATATTTAATGTTTAGTTTTATTTGATTTTTTGTAAAAAAAAATAAAAAATAAAAAATTATATAAGATATAAAAAGAAAATACTTACTTAAACATAATCCTGATCTTTGATGTTACTCTATGTTTTTGTTTTTGTTTTTGAATTTTGTTTTTTTTTTTTTGTTTCTTTGTTTTAGATAAAATAGTCCTGTACATGAATTCTTTTTTCTTTTGTATGAAAATTTGAATTGAGTTTATTTGTGGGATTTTGAATTTAGGTTTTGGTTTTGAATTATTAAAATTTTGAATTGAAATAATTATTTAATATGGTATAAATATATACTAAAATTTTACTATTTTGAATATAAATTAAATTTTAATGTAATATAATAAATAAAAAATAGGTATTTGTTTTCATATGTTTTGAAAAAAAAAATTGAAATGTTAAAATCAAAGACAAGATCTCACAATTAAATATGTTTTAATAAAAATATATATTGTGGGGATTTTGCTGTTAATTATTGAAAACATATGAGAGTATTTTGAGAAAATATCATATTGTTTGGAAGCTTTTGTTATTTTTAAAATATTTTGTGAAAGAAAAAAATAATACTACTATCTTTTTATAAAAATATAAGAATTTATTTATTTATTTATTTTTTTTTTTAATTCAGCCATTGTATAAGGAAAAATAAAAAACCTATGTTTAATTTAATATTTTGAAAAAAAAAAAAGATTATCTGAATATAGAAATAAGTATCATTTATTGATAAAGAAACATATTTACTTAAAAAAACACAATCAATAATAATGAGTTTTTGAAATCTTGAATTTATTTAGTTGGAAATTAAATTGCCATTTAACTATAATTCATGGATCATGCATAATTTCATTTTCTATTTACTAATTATGTCTCTCTCTATCCTAATATACTTAAAAAATAAAATATTCTCCTAATAATAATAATAGTAAATGTCGACTAAACACTACTTAGAATTATAATTAAATAATTTATACTTATAGGCATACCAAATTTGTATCTTATAATTAAACAAAAATCTCTCCTCTATTTGTGTTATATATATATATATATATATATCAAATTGATTTGAGATGACAATCAAATAAACATCAATCAATATTTTTTTATTTTTAATAAACATACAAAAAAAAAAAAAAGGTTCCAATTCAAGGGTTTTTTTACTTTTGTGCTTATGTATGTGATTGTATTTTACTTTTTAAAGTTAAATAATTGTTCGATACGAACCGTTGGGTTTATTTTTGTTTTTTTCTGGTATAAATTAATAAGTATAATAAACAATTTGAAAAGAAAAAACAAAATTCTATTTTTACATAAAATAGTAATAATCGAACATTGGAGACTTTAAAAAAGAAATTTAAAAACTCAAAAAGTTATAAACATCTAGTTCAGCCGTTATAAAGGTTTATTTTATGATGTTAATAGCTTTGTTTTATTACATAGTTTATGATCCAAAAATGATGTAATTAATTATTTCTGGGTAACTTTATATTGAATTATTATTACTCACAACACTAGCAAAAAAATTCACTTCTTTCATGTGGTTTATGGCATATATACGATCGATCATTGTAAGGTAGTCGATATGTATATATAACTCATTCATAATTCTGACTAGTTAAATACATCGATTGGATCATAAGGAGGGTTCGGAAGCTACTTATTCGGCATGAGTGATGTTGTGGCAAAACAATCCTCAGAAGCTAACCATCCTCTCGACATCAAGAATCCGGCGCTGCCATGGATGATCGGTTTCCTCTTCACCGTCAGCTTTCTCGGCCTCTTCTCCGTGCTGCCCCTTCGCAAGGTCAATTAATTCTTTCATGTTCTTGCCTCTAGCTCTATATATATGTCTTTCTTGCATCCTAAATTTGATACTTGTGTCGTTTAAACTTGTGCTTAAATGTTTGGTTATGATTTTTAATAAAAATTGATAATCTCTTGTTCATTCGCAACAAAATCTTTTCTTTGTGCGTCTGTAAAAATACATATTACTTCCTTTGTTATGTCATTCAATTGTGTGCTCGTTTGACCGGACACAATTTTTAAGAAATTGATAAAAATAAAATTTTTTACTTTTTTGGGTAAAGATAAAGTAAAAAAAATGTTATTCTTTTATTAAAAAGAGAAATGAGAATAAATTTGGATGACAATAATAAAAAAGTAAAAATAAATTTGAGTAATGGATAAAGTATTATTTTTACTTATTATAACAAAAAAATATAAAATGTGTGCTCAAATAATATATTTTCTTTCATCATAAAATGAACTTAGCACAGACAACCTCAAAACAGAAGTTAACATATATTCGGATGATGAAAAGAGTATGCATGCTTTGATAATGTGATGCTTTTTACTCTCTTAATTTGTTCGGGTTCTTTATCCCAAATTGTTTGGATGCGGAAACTAAAAAATGATAATTTTTTAATATAAAAATAAAATAAATAAATAAAATGGAATATTATGAGAAACTTATTAGAAAATTAATAAAAAAGTAGTGGAATAACTAGAAAAAATTGTAGCAAATTAGTTATTATTAATAAATAAGGATAATAAAAGTGTGAATGAATGAAATTATTAATAAATAACGATAATAGAAGAGTGAGTAAAGATGGATATCATATTGTTGGTAACATAATTCATAAAAATTCAATTATTTGATTGTAATAGAATGAATCAGATAATGATGGTAGATTTCAAACTGACTTATCCGAGCGGGACGGCGACTGCTCATCTTATCAATGGCTTCCACACTCCTCTCGGAGCCAAATTAGCTAAGTAAGTCCATATATCTCTAATAAATTCCCTCCTTAATTAATTTGTCCAAATTTGATTTCGTATATAGTTACTATTTATGCAATCAAATTAATTTGTCTGATAATGTAAATTACTAATTAGGAAACAAGTAAGTATGCTGGGAAAGTTCTTCTCCTTCAGCTTCTTGTGGAGTTTCTTCCAATGGTTTTTCAAGGCAGATGACGCTGATTGCGGCTTCGCCAATTTTCCTACATTCGGCCTCGAAGCTTACAAGCAGAGGTATAAAGACTCCGATCGAATGTTTTTCTTACATCATTATCAGTTATGTAAGAAGAGTTTTTGTGGTCGTGCAGGTTCTACTTTGATTTCTCGGCTACTTATGTTGGCGTCGGAATGATATGTCCGTACATCATCAATGTGTCGATCCTTCTTGGAGCCGTAATATCGTGGGGATTAATGTGGCCACTCATTGCTGCTCGAAAAGGCGACTGGTATGATGCTGATACACCTGAAAGTAGCCTTCATGGCCTTCAAGGATACAGGGTAGGTACCTTGTAGTAATATTCGAAATTTATATAATATTACATCAAATAATTATTATTTTTTTTAGGTATTCATTGCGATCGCCATGATCCTTGGAGATGGCCTCTACAATTTTGTTAAGGTGTTAAGTAAGACCTTCTCGGGTCTTTACAACGAGTATCAGAAAAAGAACTTGAGGCTCGTACTCCCGGTCGAGAGCCAACAATCTCCTCCTTTATCGACGGATGATCAAATCCGTACTCAAATCTTTCTCAAAGATCAAATCCCGACATGGATTGCCGTCGCCGGGTACCTTATCATCGCCGTTGTCTCGATCATTGCCGTTCCCTACATCTTTAAACCCCTCAAATGGTACCACATTTTGGTCATATACATATTCGCGCCTGTTTTAGCCTTTTGCAACGCCTACGGATGCGGCCTTACTGATTGGTCGTTGGCCTCGACCTACGGGAAGCTAGCCATATTCGTGACCGGAGCCTGGGCTGGAACCAACAACGGCGGCGTTCTCGCGGGGTTAGCCGCGTGCGGGGTCATGATGAACATTGTCTCGACAGCCTCCGACCTCACGCAGGACTTCAAAACCGGGTACATGACGCTGGCGTCGCCGCGGTCGATGTTCGTCAGTCAGATAATCGGCACGGCGATGGGCTGCATCGTCTCGCCGAGCGTGTTTTGGCTCTTTCTAAAGGCGTTCAAGGACTTAGGCACGCCGCATTCGCAATACGCGGCGCCGTACGCCCTCGTCTACCGCAACATGGCCATTTTGGGAGTCGACGGGTTCGGGTCCTTGCCGGAGCATTGCCTCGCTCTGTGCTACGCGTTCTTCGCCGCGTCCGTTGCGATCAACGGCGTCAGGGACGCCGTCGGGCCGCGATTCGGGAAGTACGTTCCCCTCCCGATGGCAATGGCGATCCCGTTTTATATCGGCGGTTACTTTGCGATCGATATGTGCGTCGGGAGCTTGGTACTCTTCGTATGGGAGAAGGTCGATAGGGCAAAGGCGAATGCGTTCGGGGCGGCGGTGGCGTCGGGGCTCATTTGCGGCGACGGGATTTGGACGCTGCCGAGCTCGATCTTGGAGTTGGCCGGGGTCAAGGCGCCGATATGCATGAGGTTCTTTTCGAAATCGGTCAACGGTAAAGTCAACGATTTCTTGAACTCTTGAAAAACATGTGACTACGTATACGATTTGTGATAGATATGTAGGATTTGATCGATGTGGTTTGTCTTTGATTTATAAATATGTGTAATTAGTCGTGTGTAAAAATTCTTCGATATAAATAATTTATATATATATTTAGTGGAAAAAAAATGATAAAAATAATTATATGTATATATAGAATTGATGGACATTAAAGGGTGTGTTTGTTTGGGGGTTTGGATTTTGAGTTGAGATTTGAATAGTAAAAATTTTGAATTTGAATAGTTGTATGATGTGATATAAATAGGTGTTAATGTGATGTTTTGAATGTAAAATTAATTTTTAGTATAATATAAAAAGTGAAAAATAGGTGTTTGATTTGATGTTTTTGGAGGAAAAAAATTGAATGAATGGTAGAATTTTGTTGAAATTCTACAAACGAACACACCCTAAGAATATTACATAAACTATATATATTAAATAAATCCATAAAATTCTTTTTTAATTTCAAGTTGAAATAATACTATTGAATCTGAATAATTTTTAATAAAAATATATTATTATTATTTTTATATAAAATATTTGAAATATTATTTAAACTAAAATTCAAATCTTAATATTTTATTTTAAATTAATAATTCAACTTTCAACCAAACAATCTGGAGCTTGATTGGTACGGACCTACTTTAGGGTTTAAGGGTGGCAAAAAATAGTGCTCGAGTCTTTAAATATAGACTCAAAAATTTTCGGGTCATGCCTGGTCCGACAAGTTAATGAATCGGGTTATATCCAGGCTCATTAAGGTCGGATTGTGCCTAATCCGTGTCCGATTTTTAAAATTAATATTAAATTTCTAATAAATTCATCTATATATATTAATTTTTGAAATAAAATCCAAAATTACAATATGACTTGATGGTAAAAATCTTGGTTTGTATAGGTTTGTTTCAATTTCACACTTCTACTATTAAAATATATTTTATTTTATATTAATTTAAAGCTAATAAAATAAAAAAAATAATTAATTTTTTTTTTTTAAAAAAAATGGACTGGCACAGGACAGTCTGATTTCAAACCGGATCGTGCTCGGACAGGCCTTTCCAGGCTGGATTGCAAATCGGATCAGGTTGGGCCGTCACAAAAAGATCAGGTCAGCTCGAATTGCCACCCCTGCCTACTCCACCGCTACCAAATGTGTCCAGCCGTTGAAGAAGGAACCTCCAAAGAAAGCTTGGAGTGTGTTTGTTTTATATTTTGTTTTGAAAGAATATTTGTTAGGTAAGATATAAAAAATTGTATAAATAATATAAAAATAATAAGTGTGTTGTCTATAAATTATTTTTGGAAAAATATGTTTGGAAGATTTTGAATAAAAGAACAAAGCCCGATAAAACTGAATTTTCTGAAAATATTGTCTTTGTTTGGGTGATTTGATTTTGAGTTTGCATATAAATAGTAAAATTTTAAATGTAAATATTTTCTTTTATATATATATATAAAGTATTTAATTTCATATTTTTAGTAAGAAAATAATTTATGAATAATAAAAAACAAATTAAATCACCAAAAAACAAAACAAATTGTTAAACATAAGCAACAAAAAAGTGAGAATATATTCCTTTGGTCTTGCATGTAAGGTTTTACTAACTTTGGGGTTTATTTTTGAAAACAATTTTGTTTGTGTGGTGAAATTTTGGATGAAGCTTCTATTGGCATTAGTGCTAAATGATTCGAAATGATATATTAATGAAATGTGGCTTTGATGATTCAAATTTTACACCATTTTTAATATATATTCTTCCAACCCATTTAGCAAATATATATTTTGCTATTTTAAATTGTTCAACAAAATGTATTCATTTTATTTTTTAATAAGTATGAACTTACTATACATTATATATATTTTTACATTTATATTTATTTTTATGGTAAAATAGTTTACATAAAATACTATTATCAATTATTATTAAAATATAATATTTATTAAATTTCATGTAAAAAGTAAATGTATACTTATAAAGTGGACGGATGAAATATAATATATTCTATTATATCACAGAAATTCAATGTTTAACAAAAATATTTTTTTTTTTAATATTACCGACGCAATTTCTCATATTTCACATAAAAAATCTTCCGATTATCATGCTGATTGAGTCAAATCATCGTAATCCTTATTTGATTAAACCAAAAAATATCTGTAAAGAAACTAGTATAAATTAATATAACACTCTCTTCGTCGCAATTCAAAATACTCTTTTTACCATTTTTGTCTGTCCCGCTTCAAGGTATCTATTTTCTATTTTAAAAAAAATAATCATACACTAATACAAAAAATACGCATGACTTTTATTTAAATTACAAATATACCATTACATATACAATTATTTTATACATAAATTAAAATGCAAAAATGTAAAAAAAATTTTACACACTTTCACTAATCAATAAAATATTATTATTTTTTAATTTATTATAAAACTTCAAAAGACCTCGTTGGATTGGGGCAGGAGAGTATATATGTCCAGCTCTAATATTTGCATTTATATTTTGCACACATATTAATAAATATTAGTATTTTAATAGTAATGAGTAGATATAATAGTGTAAAGACCAAATTGTCCTTACTTTTATATAGAAATGTATGATAAAATAAAAGTAAGAAGATAGCCAATGTTAAGGTCCAAAATTACTATATATTGAAATGTAAACATTTGAACTAGACGGACAAAATATAAATATGTAAACGTTAGAAGTGGACGGATAGAGTATACATTTTAATTGCATATTATATAATTACATATAGTAAAATATATTAAGATTTCAGCAAAATATATATTGAATTTAGTATAATAGTAATTTGACCCAATAAAAAATATGGGTAAATTATATAACACATCATTGTGTTTTAGTAAAAATGCAAAAAACACCCTGTATTTTATTTATTGCGCGAAACCCTCTTGTGTTAATAGAAAGTTTGCATGAAACATCCTCCTTGTCTAAAACTGATATTTGGTTCGAAATAAAAACTTAAATTACGTAAGTTTTATACAAATAAAAAACGTAAAATATCTCAAATAATTTTTTTTGAATAAAATAATTAAATAAATAATTGATCAATAATTTATTTTTATAATTTTTTATAAAAATCAGACAACAATTTGTCTCCAAAAACTATAAAATGAAGGATTAATAAATTATTTATTTAATGCAAAAAAATTATTAAGATATTTTGCGTTTTTTATTTGTATAAAAATTGCGTAATTTAGGTATTTATTTAGAACAAAATATCAGTTTTGGACAGGAACGGTGTTTCGTGCAAACTTTACATTAACACAAGGGGGTTTCACGCAATAAATAAAACACATGGTGTTTTGTGTATTTTTATCAAAACACAAGGGCGTGTTATATAATTTACCCAAAAAATATCTATAAAGAAAATATATAGTTGTTGATGTATTTTTTCAACAAACAAAAAGTAAAATTCAAAGATATGGAAAATATCTTTAAACTTGATTAATTAGTGCCTGAGATTAAGAATCTCTAAACACTGTACGGTACATAAGAAAATTAACTGGAAAATAAAATGCTGAAAATTTAAAGTGGTGATCCCCAAATCTGACTTTGCTTTATTGAAGTTGATTGAAGATGCCTTATCCAGAAAAATCCAAATCCTTAAATACTCCATGAGAAACTATACTGGAAACCGTCGTCCGAACAGTTACAACGTCTTTCAACCGTCTGCCAACCCTTTTTCTGCTGACACGTGTCCTCAGCAGACCAAAATTATCACTCTATTTCACTCTTTGAGCCGACCACAGACCTTCCGCTCTTTTGACCCGAATGCCAATCTACAACCGAATTGGTCCGACTGCCAATCCTCCTGACTTGCAAACCATCCGACCTGTTTGGTCCAGCCGCAAATGTCCCGACTTAAAGACCATCCGACCTGTTGGTCTAGCCGCAAACGCCCCGATTTAATAACCATCCGACTTGTTGGTCTAGCCGCAAACGTCCCGACTAAGAGACCATCCGACTTGTTGGTAAAGCCGCAAACATCCCGACCTGTCCCGACCTGAGGACTTTCCGTCCTGAGGACTTTCCAACCTGCGGACTTCCCGACCTGAGGACCTCCCGACCTGCGGACTTTCCGTCCTGATGACTTTCCATTTTGAGGACCTCCCGACCTCCCGACCTGAGGACTTCCCGACCTGAGGACTTTCCGTCTTGAGGACCTCCCAACCTGAGGACCTCCCGACCTGAGGACTTCCCGACCTAAGGACTTTCCGTCCTGAGGACTTTCCGACCTGCGGACTTCCCTACCTAAGGACTTCCCGACCTGAGGACCTCCCGACCTGAGGACTTTCCGTCCTGATGACTTTCCGTCTTGAGGACCTCCCGACCTCCCGACCTGCATTTTCCTTAGAAATAAACCTATTTTCCCTGAGTTCCCCACGGTGCCCTTCAGTCAGTTCGATCAACTCTATTGTCAGGCCCATTTTTTCTTTTACCTTGGACTTTTTAACCTAATTCTAAATTTCATACGTAACAATAGTAGATACATGTCTTGTGATGAAATGCTAATTTCTTCAAGTTAATGTGCTATGATATCTGCTTTATAACAAATTGTTAATTGTTTCATGTTAACTTGTTAATTTGATTAAATAAGATGTCAATTTGATCTCATCGGCATCCTGACCACCACAAAAAAAAAAAAGAAAAAAAAAGAACTCCAAACTCAAACACTAAACAAACACCCTATTAGTAAAAAAAAGTTCAGTCTCATCAAGGATGACCTAGTGGTGTAGGGATGAATTCGTGATCGTGAAGCCATGATTTCAAACCCGACACGCTATATTGCTAACTAAAAAAAAATAAAAATCGATCACTAAAAATTAATAAATTAGATAAAAAAAAATTATTGTATTTTTTAGTTATATTTTAGTTTGATAATTTATTTTAATAATATTTTAAATATAAAATTCTATGAGATTTGTATAATGTAAAATTGGGAAAAAATTAAT